CTGCCAAAATAGAAATTTCGATGTTAATTACTCTGTCTTGGCGTCGGTAGTGTTAATTTTGTAATCTTAATCTCCACTTGAAAAATATGGGGAACGAATCGAGAAACGCAAAGATCTCAGGAAAAAGAGAAATGCCAGAGATATATTGCCAAGACACTGTGCAAATTTCGACGTTTATTCCCGCGATGAACGTTATTTTTGCGTCGGTAGTTAAAAGAGTCGAAACGTCGGGCAGAGACGACTGAACTGAAGTCGTCTCCGTGCTCAACGACGCTGGATTCAATCTAGCCGGATTATCCGGTTCTACGACCGACCATCGATGTTCCACGATTCGGAAGTTGCAAGCCTGTGTCAACTTGCCTCTTTCTGGCCGGCCCCTCGGCTATCCTAATACCCGACTTCCGGTCGCTGTAGGGGAAATGAACACCGGTGTACCACCGTACCTCGTAACGATGAATGCTCGAGCTGTTCGACGCTCCGTGATATAAACTTTATGGCTGTATTTTATGGTCCTAACGGGGGGTTCTCGTGTCCGCGTTGCGAGAGTAATGTCTCGGCGGGGAAATGTGGCGTACGTCGGTGGAAAATGTGAAAAATAGGCTACTTAGGGGCCTTTTCCTTGCGATCGCGTTGAATGTACCGAAGTGGAGGCTGTTTTGGAATTCGTTCCTTCGTTGAACCTGGAGATAATTGCACTGTCGCTTTCGAGTGACGAAAATGAGCGCTCTCAAAGCGTTTTAGAGTGAAATATTATACATACGTTGAGAGTGAAATATTACACGTAAGTTGCTGTCATTTACGACACGTTGAAATGTGTCACTTGATCGTGTGATGTATTAACAAACGAAATTAATTTTAATTTATGGCCCTTGTGCCTTTTTAAATTCATCTTGCACCGTTCGTTTCGCATTTAAAGACAAAAGAAAAAGAAAAAATTTCGAACAATTATCTGCTTCATCTGAAGATTTCATTCTTTTGAATTATTATGACAAATCTATTCACAATTGTAACTAAGAGAACTTTTAATTGAAAACCAATCGAATATATGTATATATGCGTAAAATATTCGACACTATTCTATATTATGTTCTAATATTATTCTGTATTTAATATTTTTTATTATAATCGACCTATAATGTTACATTATCATTAATATTAGTATCATATTGTATTATTTTTATATTATATCCTTTTATGTTATATCATTCTACCTAATGTTACATTATCATTAATATTAGTATCATATTGTATTATTTTTATATTATATCTTTTTATGTTATATCATTCTACCTAATGTTACATTATCAATAATATTAATATCATATTATATTATTTCTATATTATCTAATATTATTCTAATATCATTCTATATTCTATATTCTATATTTTATATATACATAAACTAAATTTTAATATACATAGAATTTTATTTAAAATGCGATTCGACCCTTTTTGCATCTGATGCTACAATTATTACAGACCACAAAAAGTGATATTTTAATATCCTTGCTTCGTGTTTCCTCGCAACAACGTTCATTCCACCGTGTTGTATAAACAGCGGGATGATTCAGTGAAATGCCAGTTACTCTTAGAAAGGGTTTTGTCACGACCATGCTACGGTCAGGCGAGATATGGCGTTGACGCTGTTTTCCTCGAGAAAAGGACGATCTTGGGAAAATATGCAGCGGAGTCTTTTATTTTTTTTTTTGTTGAGAAAAAGAAAAAGAGAAAAAGAGAAAAAGGAGAAGGACGCTGCATCTCTGAAAGAAAGGAATGTAAATGATGATTTGTATGGAACACGGGTTGTTTACATTGCTGCGAGGGTAAGAGGGATTAAAAGGGATCTCTCGTGGGAAAGACATAAGTGTCGCGTTATACAACGATGCTTTCAGCGACAGTGTGCAAATGTTGTGTCACTAAACGCACGTTTCTTCGTTTTAAGGAACGTGGAATTTCTGAATATTCGTTCTGAAAAGGAAAGTTGTTTATCGAGTCGTTTTGCGTGAAGATCAAGTGAAATTAAATGGTCGACAAAATTGGAAAATTGGAGCGATTGAACAATATTGTCCACGATAAGAAGAATTTGTAAACTTTAAAATTTTTAGTTTGAAAATTCTATGATCTACCGATCTACAGATAAATACCGAACGTTGAAAGTAAAGAGCGTCCCAAGATTCTTGAAAGGCAGTAAATTAAATAATAAGTACTTTAATTTGAACATACAATTGTATTGCATCGAACAAAATTGTATCTTTTGAACAAATTGTATTATAAATTAATTTTGCATTTTATTGAACAGAATTGTATTTTCGATGTTTGATCGATATTTTCTTACTTTTTTAAAAATTTCTGCTTGAGAGTCAAACTGATCAAATCCTGCTTTTGCCTTTCGCTTACTTTCGACCGAATGTCGTGTTTTTTATGTCGTTAAGAAGTTTCCTTAATTGGCTGAAAAGTTTCCGAGAATAACGTGGAAAGAACGATCGCAGTATATCGCGTGATTTCTCGTTTTAATCCTGCGCTAAAGTTTCGTCAGAGGTCTCGTTGCTCGTTGAAACGAGAGAAAGATTGGACCATAAAAAATTCGGTCGAATTGTCTTTGAAAGTTCGCTCGGCGGACGATGATCAAATTTTTTTGATTACTCAAATCCTTTCCTTCGTTAGTTAGTTAAATGTATACACTTCGTTTGGAGAGAAGTTTCTCAAATCTCGTTTCTCCAAGGTAATCTTTATCTCTAGATCAAAGCGGAATCATAGAAAATCGTCTTCGGAAATTTACATTTGAATTTCTACCGAGAAAATATTCTGATGAAATTCTACCGGGAACTTCCGACGAAAATTGCATTTTAGATTTAACGGATTGATGATATTTTAAAGTTAAAATTAATGTTCTTGATCAGAGTCTTGGTATTAGTTTTTTTTAAATCTTTGCAAACTTAATGAATGTCGAAAATAATTATCTTCCGGCGCTGAAACATTTTACGAATAATTTCTCGCAATCAGTGACAAAATAATTTAGTTTATTCGTTAGAAGTACAAAGGGAGTAGCACGAACGTATTTTTAATGTTTAGACTTTTGGTAATTTTAAGAACCTAAGAGGGAATAATCCAACAAATTGTTTTTTACAAATTGATAAGTCGTTGTCCCAATCAAAATTTTTTACTCCATCGTTGTGATAAATTTTCCTGGAACTTAAAATATTCTTTCCCAATCGTAAATTGACGTTCACATTGCCGATTTTTGAGAAACTTAAATTTCCAAACATTCACTCAAAAATAAGTAAATTATCGAAAGCAAAGCATATCTATTTTATTCATCTGTACGTTATATAATTTTCGTATAATGCTCGCACTTTCGCAAATAAAAAGAGAGAAAAGAAACTACAATCAGTTAACTAAAGTCACGAACTAAAAATTTCGAAATCTCTGCTCTGATTTGAAGAAAAGTTGCTTAGCAATTCTTTCAGCCGCGGCGAACGGTCAACTTCCGGCCGCGTGGTCCTCGCTGGCCCCCTTCGCGCAAAATGTTACGATTAAAAAGCGTTTTGCAAAACAGATTTACTGCGCTTACCCGTGGAACGAGTCTCGCAGTCTCGACGAAGTTGAAATATACATATATTTACGTGTACGGACACCGGCCATTTGTTTCCGGTGCGTTGCTTCTTATTGCGGAAGTTGCGCGCACAGTAGCGACCGTGAAACCACGAATACGGATCGAGGGAACAACCGGTCGTCAGATCAACGTCGGATGTCGTCAATTCAGCAACTCGAGGCAAGAACACCGTACACCAAATGCAAAAACTTCCATTTCCGTGAAATAACAAAGGGCTGTTGTGGTCTTTGTGGATGCGCGTGTTGCTCGGACGGAATGTTTACAACCTTGAATCACGATCGTTCGGGCTCGTCGTGGCATACGCGCGACACGGAACTATACGACCGAGCGAGTTTGTTTTTCTACGAGACGCAGGGTTATTTTCAGTTGCTTGGAAATTTCGTGGCAAGTTACTGCCTGTTGTGAGAATATTTGAAATCCAACGCTGTTTTGAATCTATCCTTGAGATTTTTGTATACTTTCGCATACTGCGGTGCGTTCTTTGTATTCTTGCAGAGTTCTTGAAACTATCGCAATCTAGTATGACTGTATTGTTCGACCAAGATCGAAACAAATGTAAAATAATACGAGTTGTTTAGTAGAATCTTGCAAGAATTACAAATATATAAATATATAAATGTAAAATTATACAAGACGAATGGTATACACATAATTGACGTGTAAAACCACGAAGAACAATTAACAAACTCAACATCAAATTTATCTAACTTTATTCTACTATTTAAATTTACCATTCGTGTTGTGCGATTTTGTATAATAATTTCTATTGCTATTGGTCACCAGATTGGTTTCAATTTTTTACCAATCATTCTTGAAAAGGATGTACGGAGAAACATATTTTATTTAGACGTTTGTTTTCAACTTGTCTTTCCTCCTCCAAATTTTAAACTTTCTCCCTTTTATGGAAGTCAGGACATAAATTATTCATACATGCAAATTCAAAGTAAAATTGTATTCGTCTCCACCGTTCGAGACAATTTCTTCTGTTTTTGTCTGAAGTACAATTTCGCAATTTTCGTGTTTTTTAAAGAATTAATGCACGTAATTATTTATTACTTATCGTGTAAACTCGTACGTGTACTGTGTACGAAACGAAGCAAATTTATGACAAAACATTCTCTCCGTAAAATCAGTATTATCCTTGGAATTATATAATTCCTTGGTACGCGAAATTTTAAACGAAACGATTGAAAATTACACGCAGAGCGACCGATCACTCATTTAGCCGAAGAAATACAACACCGTCGCTGAGATAATCCCGATTTCACACCTCCTATACCTCTTTCTCGCAACTCGACTCTCTTCTCGCCTAATCGCAGTCCTAATCCACCATCTCGTTGCTCGCCAATTCACTATTTCACCTCCACTTCGTACTCTCTGCTTTCAGGATCTTCAATTGACTCCTCGTGCTCGCCGATGAAGGATGATCTTCGCGAAGAATCGTCGTCCGTTCGTCGACCTTCATCGATCCTCGTCTCGTCGATCGCCAGTGTTCGTCAGACCGACAACGAGAGTCACGAGCCGTTAGAAATACAAAGTTTCGAGGACTAATTTCGGAGAGGGAGAAAGAGAGACCGTCTTCTCGCTGGAAGTTCTTTAGCAGCGATCGAGAGAAACGAGCAATTTCGTGGATCGAGGGAATTGTGAGTGCCGGTGGAATCGAGTCTCTCGAGGGAGGAGAAAGAGAAAGAGAGAGAGAGAGGATCAGAGTGAGATGCACGGCCCACTGTGAAAATGCTGGTGGACGATTGTGGCAGCGCTATGGGGTGGACTTCGGCCAGCGTGCGCGGAGGTTGGTCCACCCCGGGCGGCTGTAGAAATTCAGCGATGAACTTCGGTGGAAGCGTGCCCTCCCTCCATCCCGCTGGATCGATAAGATCGCTGCGATCTCAGCATTCTATGCAGGTAACTTTTATTAAGAAAAAAAAAAAAAAAAAGAAAGAAGAAGAAAATAAAAATCTTGCAAAATGTCGTTTGATCGTCGTCGTCGTCGAAGGGGTGAAGGTGTTCAGTTGCCAGCGAATCGTGGATTTATTGTAAACACCCAGGACAGTTTGAAATTTTCAAAAAAATCGATTTTTTTCTTGGTTTTTGTTTTAAATTAGAAATAAGATACGAAAGGTCCTAGCCTTTATAACGACTTACTTTGGGGGTATAATAATAAATCCGCGAATACAGAATAATCACTGTTTACAACTTTAAGCAGTATTATAAAGTGTAAATCGTGTGATTCAAATATTACCTCTGGCGAATCGTGGATTTATTGTAAACTTTGGTATTAACGGGTCCAGGACAGTTTGAAATTTTCAAAAAAAATCGATTTTTTTCTTGGTTTTTGTTTTAAATAGTAGTTTGAGGTCTTAGAAATAAGATACGAAAGGTCCTAGCCTTTAAAACGACTTACTTTGGGGTATAAATATAAAATAAATCCGCGGATACAGAAAAATAATTGAATCTGTTTGCAACTTTAAGCAGTATTATAAAGTGTAAATATAAAATATAATAAAGGTCCTAGCCTTTATAACGACTTACTTTGGGGTATAATAATAAATCCGCGAATACAGAATAATCACTGTTTACAACTTTAAACAGTATTATAAAGTGTAAATCGTGTGATTCAAATATTACCTTTGGCGAATCGTGGATTTATTGTAAACTTTAGTATTAACGGATCCAGGACAGTTTTAAATTTTCAAAAAAATCGATTTTTTCTTGGTTTTTGTTTTAAATAGTAGTTTGAGGCCTTAAAAATAAGATACGAAAGGTCCTAGCCTTTAAAACTTACTTTGGGGTATAAATATAAAATAAATCCGCGGATACAGAAAAATAATTGAATCTGTTTGCAACTTTAAGCAGTATTATAAAATGTAAATATAAAATATAATAAAGGTCCTAGCATTTATAACGACTTACTTTGGAGTGTAATAGTAAATCCGCGAATACAGAATAATCACTGTTTACAACTTTAAGCAGTATTATAAAGTGTAAATCGTGTGATTCAAATATTACCTTTGGCGAATCGTGGATTTATTGTAAACTTTAGTATTAACGGGTCCAGGACAGTGAAATTTTCAAAGAAATCGATTTTTTTCTTGGTTTTTGTTTTAAATAGTAGTTTGAAGTCTTAAAAATAAGATACGAAAGGTCCTAGCCTTTAAAACGACTTACTTTGGGGTATAAATATAAAATAAATCCGCGGATACAGAATAATTGAATCTGTATCACTGTTTACAACTTTAAGCAGTATTATAAAGTGTAAATCGTGTGATTCAAATTATCTTTGGCGAATCGAATATTAGGGGACTTGGATTCAATTTAGTTGGGAATTGTAGGAACTGTGAGCCGCGATATACAAGTAAAAAAAATTAAGTAAAAGATACATATGAAAAATAACGTTCTGAAACTTTAAAACTTTAGTTTTTCTCGAAACTAGGTTTTTAGAAACGGTGTGCAACAAGATACCAACCAATTGCTGTGAAACTTGGCCTAACATTTACTAGAGATTGACGATCGAACAATTTTTAATTTTTAACAATTTCGAAAAGTATAAATAAAAAAAAAGACCTAGAAAATTTTGGCATAAATATATGAAAGACAAATAGCTTTCATAATTTTCACAAAAATCAAAAAGTTGGACCGTCAATCCCTAGAGAACGTTGCTTTTGATAAATTCCATGTAGAGATGCAAAATTTTTTATCCCTCAAGTGATATCGTACATTATTTTCAAAAGGTACTGTCATTTACAATAATAACGAGTCGCGCGAATGATTTACGACGACTTACGAGTCGAAATAACGAAACAATAGTCGACACGGCTCGGTCAAAAATGTCCGATCGATTTCTCTGATCTGTATTCTAGTCGCGACGTCTTCACCCCGTCCGACAGATGTCCGTTTAATTTTCACGACGTGTCGCCGATCGCGGTGATTTATCATTAGCTACCCATTGTTTGCGTTTCTTTGTGTCCAGGGCGTGCCGGAGACACCGCGAAGATGCATGCACTGCCATCCGGTACACGTGCCGAGCACCCCGAACAATTACGTTCACCACCCGATGCAGTACTACACGCCGAGTCACTGCCCCGAGCCCAGGAACGGTGTCTACACACCTCATCGGGGCAGTTCTTATCACGGTGGTGAGTGAACATTCTCAATTCTCCAGTTCTCTGGTTTACAGAGAAAATTTTGCTACAAAACTTTGTTTTCCTTTGAATGCTAAAAATTGGTAATTTAATTAATGGCAATTTAAATTGTTGGTAATTTAAAAGTTCGATAAAAATTGGTAATTTAATTAATGGTAATTTAAATTATTGGTAATTTAAAAGTTTGATAAAGTTGAGTTAAAGATGAGCGTCGGAATGAAATGAACATCGCGGTTTTGTTTCGCGGTGTTCTATCTAGTTTATTACGGGATACAGTTGCAAAGTACAAAAGTACATAATTTTTACGTTCATGAAATTCCCAGTGATGTCGAGTATCGAGTTCTTTATATTTCTTCTTTATATATATATAAATTCCAAAAAATTCAATATAAATATATATATATATATATATATATATATATATATATTTATATTGATTTTTTTGGAATTTTTATATATTTATATTGATATAAATATTTTTATATATTTATATTGAATTTTTTGGAATATTTTTATATATTTATTGAATTCTTTGGAATTCTTTGGAATATTTTTATATATTTATATTGAATTCTTTAGAATAGTAAATTAGTACTGTGAACATGGCACTGTACATCTTTCGATATGTTTATTCAATGTAATGTCGTAATACATTATTCTTTTTGAATTAGTAATAAATAAATCAATTACGTACTCTAGATTATTTGCACGATATTTATTTTGTCCCGACACAGTAATTGCATATACTTTGAAGTACGATGCTCCGGTATAGATTAAACGTTCAAAGGATTGATGACTCGTGAATGAGTTCTCACCATTTTATAATTAAGACAGAAAATTAAGTTGTAGAATTTTACTCTGATTTAATATAATATAATAAAATTAGCTTGCTAATAATATCACTTACTACTTCTACTACGTATAATATATTACATTAGATTTTTATAATTTATAATAATTTAAATTTTTTTATAACTTATAATAATTTAAAATTTTTTATAATTTATAATAATTTAAAAATTGTTTTTAAATAATTAAATTAGATTTTTATATCATCTATTAGTAATATCTGAAACGCAAAGTGTCAGGTCGATGCGTCGTGAAATATCGTTCGATCAAGTAGAAATGAAACTCTGAACGCAAATTGTTGAGTATATGAACTACATTCCATAGAACAATAACCAGAATATTCATTAAATAATATATTTATATTTATCAATAACACACTCTGTGTAAAACAAGCTTCAAAATTTAATTCGTCCCGGCAATTTCAACGTCTCTCGTTACAAACAAATTGTATCATTACACGAAGAAAGAAGCAGCCTGAAATTCATTACAAAGGAAAGAGAGTCGAAAGAATGAATCTCCAAGATGTTTACCGTGGAAATATGGAGTCCTCTCGTCGCGTGTACGATAGTTCGCAATCTGACGCGCTGAAGATATCTGTCTCGTCCTCTCTTTCCCCTTCGCCGGCTGTTGAATATTGAACGCAGTCGCGAAACTTGACAGAAACGGATTAGGCTGGTTGGTGTCCCAGGCAAGCAACGCCGTGAGAACGAAAACAGAAGCATCCTGAGATTATGAGCAAGTTTACCACGCGGACGGAGTCAGACAAAGTGGATGGAGTCGTTCTTATACTGACTTTACGGTAGAAGTTGCGCAATCTGGCTGAAAGATGCCCTCGAGACATCGAATGAAATGTAAAACGTGTCAAACGAAACCGTCCCCTTGTCTCGGACAATGAAAATGTTTTCGAATTTTCAGATCGTTTCGTTTTACGTCGCCGCTTACGTTAAGGCACTTCGCAGCGACCAAGAAATAAATTAATTCGACGAAATTTGGACCAATTTGGTCTTTTTTTTTTTATCCTTAACTCAGCTCAGTGAAAATTCTTCAATCGAACCTCTGAAATTTGCATTAATGAATTTCACCGATTTTTCAAAATGTATGGGAAAACTGATTTTACAAGAATAATTGTAAATGGACAATACCTCGATCGTTGTAAGAAATATTAAAAGAACCGGTGAAATAAGTTGAGTAATCAGACTGGCAAGCTCAATACTGTTCGTAAATAAATATTATATAATTTTAAATATTAAATATCACATAACTTCGTAAATAAAAATGGTACCTTTAACAAAAAAAAAAAAAAAGGAATGAAGCCGCCAGGATTACGAAGTGATAGTAATTCAACAATGCAACGACAAGAAACAAACCACAGCAGTTTATAATTAACAAATTATAAACAATATTTATATATATATTAAACAAATATGGCACTTATCGGCCTCGAGACTTCTCGGCCGATGTCTGTACTGCTCTGTAAAAGTATTCGCGCATTCGCTGTGAATATCGAATAACGTCACGCGTATTCTCGCAATCGCGACAGCGATCAACACAAACGTAATTACGGTAAGCTAGGAAATTGTGGAGAGATAGCGAAGATCGTACGGTAACATAGGCTAACGAGACACGAGATACGCGGACTCCTATTCGCTAATAATAATTTTAATGTTATCTGAGGCTCGAGGGTGATGAATGGACAGCGAGTGAAAGGCTCAATTACCGTGCTTCAACGTCGCGAGATTCGATAGAAATAATCCCCTTGGCCCTCCCCTAGAATTTAGTTGAAACTAAAACTTCGCCCGCGGGACTTTAAATGACAGTAATAGCGTCTTTCGGGCTGTGAAACTCGATAACTGGGCGAGTCTTTGAAGCGAAAGACCCCTGACTGACGACCTCGGAATCTCCTTCGCGCGATAACGCGTCGATAAAGCTTGAATCGCTTTATTCTGTGCATAGCTCTTTGCTCTCGTCGTTTTGTTTCTCTCTAAATGTTCGAACGAACTCCAAAAACGAATGAACGCGCAACTATCGCCGTGGCTGCGATACTATCAGTTGCTGCAGTCAGTATGCATTTACGAAGATCTGATTTCTGTCTGGACTGTTCGTAATTTCGCGCGACAGTTTATTCAGCCTCAACGCGAAGTCTCTACTTTCACGATCTCGAGTTCGTTTCTCTTTTTGTTTTGTTTCTTCAAAGATATTTTTGACAACATCGTGAACCGGATGAGAAGGACACTTTTTGTTGTCGAAAATGTTAAACATTCAAACGTCTCTGAAATCGCTAAAAAATTACCAAGTTTTTATTACTACATAGGTCCGTACCGTAAAAATATCTCTGAAATATCGCTGAAAAATTGTTTCCACTACCAAGTCCGAAATTAAAGTCTCGATCTTAATACTTGAATTATTGCGGATTAATATACGGATTTTAGTTAAAAATTATTGCCATTAATTATACGTTTTTTTGACTGAACTTAATTAATTAATTTTATTTTATTTAGTATTTTTCCTAATTTATGTTAACTTAACATATTTTATTTCTCAATTATATCTAGTTAGACGAGAATGAAGCTGCCCATTGTAAGATACTCTTAAATAATCAAAGTTGATTTGACATTTATAAAGAGCGTCGTCATGTTACAGAAAACAAAAACACGAATCCTGTTGAATCTTTCTCTCGCTGAATAAACTGAAAAAAAAAAGGAAGCAATTTATTCGGGAACGTTTCACTCGAATCTCGCGCTAAATGAACGTCCTGTTATCTCTCTAAAACGGCAGCACAAACTAGTCGAAACAGTTTATTACCTCGAATCATTGTTTTTCATTTGACAAATACACGCGTAACCTGCGTAAAGATAGGCGTTTGTCGTAAAATTAAATTACTCAAGCAACAACGTCCATCGGCTCTCGTCGCTAATTGACGTAAATTCGAATAAACTGCGTATCTGGCGTAAATACACGGCCGTGCGACCGTGTAAATACACATAATTACGGGGGATAATTCAAATAAAAACACAGCCGCTCGCACGACTGCGCGATATATATTTACAGTGACAAGGGCTGTTAAAATTCTGCAGTGTTTCGGCACTATGCGGCGGGGATGGAAGCAGAATTCAAGCGAAAATTTCACATCGTCGATGAGTCGTACGAACAACGAACAACGGGAATCGCATACGTTTTAATGAAAAATATATCGCCAGGAATTGTCGCAAGTGTGCCCTGTCAGTTGGCAGGGACGCGGAAAGAGAGAGAAAAAAAGAGAAAAAAAAAAAGGACAACAATTCAACAAGTTGACATTCGCGAATGGCAAACGAACCGTCCGTATGTTCCACCAGGAGAGGAATCAAAATCAAAAAAAAATCGAATAAATGAAAGAAATCAAAAGAAACGGAGAGAGATTTCGCAGTCACAATTTTGATCAAACGATGAATTGAATGAAAAGCGATATTTCTTTTTTTTTTTTTTTTTTAGTTTTTTGTAGTTTAGGTAGAAATGTGTCTCTGTAAATTCGATCGGATGTAAATCGGTACATTTATTGTTTAATTGATTGAGATACTCGGAGTGAGTCAGGATCACGAACCAATTGTCGTTATCAAGTACTTATTGTTTACAGTGCGATTGCGATTCTGATCGAACAAACGAAGAACGATATTTCTCGCGCATCAGTCTGTTGGAAACTTGTGTATACGATTTTGTAAATTTGATCAAAAAAGCAATTTAGTACGTTAGATTATTTAATACTTGACAGTGCAGTTGCAAATTTTGCTTCGAGCAACGAAATGAAGAACGAACAATATTTTCCGTGCATAATCGAATCATTAAAAAGTGTATTCTTCGGATGGTTTTTGTAAATTTGAAAGAAGAAGAAGCTAGGTTCGTTGAACTCGCGTTTCTAGAATTTTTTAGAGTTTTAGCAGTATCAAATTTATATTAATACTTTAGGAATTATGCGGATTCACGAAAGTGCTCGAACACTTATAGATACATGGGAAACATTTTGAAATTTCATTGACACTCGATTATCATGATTATATTAGTGTCGTTGGTATATTAAACGACCACGATTTTCTCTACATTATCAGTATACCCTCTGAATGCTCGTTTAAAATTACGAAAACTTTTTCATATCGTTTGTTCGATATCTACAT